CCCCAAAACCCCAAAACCCCAAAACCCCATAAGTCAAGTTATAATGCAAACTGAATGATATAATTATTAATTAAATATGTTGAAAGTTATTGGAAGTGAGGCTGTCAAGCAATATTATTTAGCTCAAAGAGTCCTTTATCTACTCACAAGATCAAAGACAACTCCTACTGCTGAGCCTAAGGGTCCATAAGTATCAGCTGGATCTCTTAGAAAGATCCTCACTAATGATGTGTCAGCTTACTAAGAATCTAGTTCAGTAATTTTATGAGCAATAATCTTATCCAGATTCTTGATTTTATCAACCTGAATTAATCAAAGGGAAACTATATTGTAGATGCAGATGGTAATGTTTTGCTTGATGTTTGTGGAACTGAGTAAAATCCACTTGGCTATAATCATGATGCCCTTTTAAAGGTAATTTAGTCTCAATTTATCAAAATATAGAATGCTTACAGCAAGGAGATGGATGCTCATGTTATAAATTCATTCATTACAACAAATGACACTGTAGGTGCAAATCAATTCAAATAAATTGAAAATCTACTGATGCCAATTGCTCCAGCAGGTCTTAATTCAGTTACCTTCACCAAGGGTGGTTCTGCTATTGAAAAAGCAATTATGACATCAATGGCTGAGAGAAACACAGGCCTTGGAGAAAGATTCACTGCTCTTGGATTTTCAGGTTCAAATCATGGCTTTAAGAATTCATTTGTCAACATTCACTTTAACAATACTCATAGACTACCATCCTTCGACTGGCCAATCGTCGATTATCCAAATTCTGAAGCCGCTGAATCTAAGACTCTTGAGGAAGTTTAAACTCATCTTAGAAATCAAAGAGAGAGGTCTTCTCCAGTTACTGCACTCTTAATTGAGCCAGTTCATTTCGCCACTGGTAGAAGTGCATCAGATAATTTTTTCAAGGAACTTAGATCACTTACCAGAGATAGTGAAACAGCTCTTGTTGTAGATGCTACTGAAACAGGTTGTGGCGCTACAGGAAAAAGTTTCTGGGGTTTCACAGGTCAAGCTGACTATTTGATCTTTGGCAAAAGAGCATTAGTTGAGGGTTACTATTCAAGACAATCAAGCAAGCTTTTCTCATTAACCTTTGGAGGAGATTAACTCAGATTAGAGTAGTTCGCAGTTCTTAAGCAAGCCATTGACAATGAAAAGCTAATTGATAGAGTCTCTAGAGTTGGAGCTCACCTCAGAAGACAATTAGAGAATGCTACTAATGGCAAGAGCAAAATTTCTGGTCTTACTGGATAAGGAACTGCTTTGCACATTAATACACAAGATGAAACCTCAGCTCAATAACTACACAGCCATTTACTCAGATCAGGTGTTATCACTAACTTAAATGGTTCTAATGGTGTTACTCTAAGACCTGCTTTAATCTTAGAAGAGAAACATGCTGACATCATTGCTCAAGCTGTCTAGAGATTCTAATGAGGAAGGATATAATTTTGATTATCCATCCGATTATTATTTAAACATCATCATTTTACTGATTTCATTCTATTCAACGTTGAGGGGTTTTGGGGTTTTGGGGTTTTGGGG